GGTCCTTGGTGTCCCCTGGGCCATAAAGACTGATGGCGGGCCAGCGTATACATCACAGGAATTTAATTCCTTCCTGAAATCCTGAAACATATAGTCTGCCACAGGTATCCCATACAACCCACAGGGACAGGCAATCATTGAAAGAACTCATAGGATGATTAAAGATCTCTTACAAAGACAGAAAATCAATCATATGCCCCCAGACCCACAGCTTGCTTTGACTGAGGTACTTTTCACTATCAATTTTCTTACTTTTGATTCCCAAGGGATCAGCCCAGCTTATAAACACTGGGGATCCTTCCCATCCCAGACCCCAGCCCCTATGGTTAGGCGGAAAGACCCCCTGAAAGGAGAATGGAAGGGACCATAGCCTCTACTAACCAAGGGTCGAGGTTATGCTTGTATCTTTCCAGAGAATGTGGGACAGCCCATTTGGTTACCAGCCAGAAACATCAAGCCTGCAACTGACAGCCAACCAGAACCAGCTGAATAAGACTGAGAGTCTGCCTTGTTAGCGGATGCACCTGCTTTATGTGAAGTGTGTGTATGTGTGAATGTGTATGTGTACGTATGGGTTGAAGTCAGCAGGTTCATGTGGGAGATGCAACTTTCCCAGAATACTATAAGTCCATGACTTATCATAGTACTACTGATCTTTCCATTTATTTGATGCCATGTGGTTCCCTTTAGTCTATGTTGATGGTGACCGAACATGGGGAGGCTAAAAGAGACAGTACATCCTATAGTGGCTGAAGCCACTTTGTACTCTCTCAAGTCACACTTTTTGCAAGCATCTTGAGCCTCAGTGCTTAAATATTTTCTAGGTAGTTTAAAAACCAACTGAAGACTAGTGAAAAGATGTCACTATGAAAAGAAGTTCCTTCATGAGTATTTCAGTGTTAGAATTTAGCAGGCGATCATTTTGTAAAACATTTCAAACAGTAAAGACTTGGATGCTTAATTTTCATTAACCCTGTCCAGGAACATGGTTAAAAAGTGACTTGTCAGTGTAATTTTGTTTGCATAGTGAGATTTTAGGTTGACATCTTTGTTTAGTTTTTTTTTTCTTTTTTCTTTTCTTTTTTTTTTTTTTTTTTGACAGGCAGAGTTAGACAGTGAGAGAGACAGAGAGAAAGGTCTTCCTTCTGTTGGTTCACCCCCCCAAATGGCCACTACGGCCGGTGCACTGCGCCGATCCGAAGCCAGGAGCCAGGTGCTTCCTCCTGGTCTCCCATGAGGATGCAGGGCCCAAGCACTAGGGCCATCCTCCACTGCCCTCCCAGGCCACAGCAGAGAGCTGAACTGGAAAAGGAGCAACTGGGACAGAATCCGGCACCCCAACCAGGACTAGAGCCGCAAGCGGAGGATTAGCCTAGTGAGCCGCGGTGCTGGACTGTTTAGTTTTTTATGTTACTTTTTAAAAATTCAAAATTAATTCAGTGACCAACTTTTTACAATGCAGCTGATTTCTCTGTGGGACCAACAGAATATATGTAGTCCTTACAGGGCTTTTCACTACAAAACAACAGGTGTTGGAAGACAGGTTTAAGTCCCAAACATTCGCCAAGCCAGTTTTCTTTGTTTTAACCTCTGAACAGCTCACCCTACACTACAGATAATGCCAGGGCTGGGTCACATCTTGTCACACAGCTTGCAGTAAGTTAACGAATACACTGGATATTCCAAGTTGGTATTCATTTACTTTCAACTAATTGATAGTAAAAGAAAATGAATTCTAACATTCAAGAAAATTAAATTCATGTTCACATCTCTTTTAAAACCAGTTTTCATCCTCTGGAAGATGCTTTTCTCAAGGGATCCTTTCACTAGGATGACAAAAAAATTGCATTATGCAAAAAAAATACATTTTTTGCCTTCTAATTATGACAGATTTTGGAATATATACTAAGGTTAAAGAAAAAGACACACTTTCCTTTCTGTCTGTAGAGGCCTCATTTTGCCTACTTTTGCTGCTAAAGGTAGGTCTGGACAGACCACAGCTTACAAGGCATTAACTGGGAAAGTTACTCACCCTGTGCTTATAGGTTCCTCAAGCACTTGGCAGGATTGCATGGGTGTGACCGATATTTGGAGGAGAGGGGGGAAAAAGAGAGGAGGAGAAAACAAAGCAAAATAAAGCAAAGAAGTCATAAAGTTAAAAAAGGACTGATAACACTTTTTCCTGTCTGGCATTTCTTTAAGGCTCAGAATCTACGATGTCAAAATCTATTAGAATAAAGACATGCAAACATGAGATGATTTTGTGGGTGTGTTGGGGGTGTGGTGGGGTTTGGAACCTGAAGGTAGTTTCCAGTGGAATGCATTTGACAAGCCGCCCCCATCTTTATGGACTAAGCTTGAATATGGTCTACTTTACCAATCCCCAATTCCTTAGGAAATGATTTTATACAGATTGTGGGACATATGTACACAAATTTATGACTTGGCTCTGGCATGGAAGAATGGTTTCTCCGAAAAAATAAAATCCTAGTGGTTATAAATGGGTCAAAAAGAATTAGATTTTTTTATTTATACTTCAGAAATGTCATCAAGTGAATGAAATGATTTCATATACATTTTTACATCCAACAGTAGTGACACACTGTTCATACATTAATTCTATAGTAAAATGTACATCCTTTTTTTGCTAAGATTTGCCAAGTGTTCATGGACAAAAAAAAGTAAAACGAAAAACCTTTCATTGCAACCTGAACTAGTGAAATAACAAGGGTAAGCCATGTCCCTTTGAATAGCTTTATGGCATTAATAAAGCTATTGTCCAAATGTGTGTTAATATCGGTGTGTGTAGGATGAAGTCTCACAAATTCTCCAAAACGTAAATGTCCAATTTGAGAACTTTACAAAATAGTATATTGGATTTTGCGACTGAATCTGCCCAGGGACATTAAAGTCCAGGATGGTTTATTTTAAGTGTACTTCTGTAGCTCTATTCCTAGCTGACTATTCTTCGATTCCCTAATCACAAAGAAATGCATTCTTATGAAGTTAAGCAGCTGTAGACACAGAATGCTGATGACATTTTTCTCCATATCTGAGTTATCTAAAGGAAACCCAGCTAGTGGTAATTCTACCAAATACTTGTAACATTCACATAAAATTTTAATTGATTTTCAAACAGTACAACTGTGCCATGAATCCAACCACATAGAATATAAGCCTTAAGCCCACTAGGTTTAAGCAATTGTGTCTTTGTAGACTAAAACTATATAAAATAAAATCTGATAACTCCCTGGTGTTAGAGGTAGACAGTTTTCTTTCAAATCCTAGGTTTGGTCCTTTATTTTATTCAGCAGTGAAAGCCATGAATACAGAACGAATAACAGCTGTTACAATTCTCAACCATGACTTCTAACGTCAGAGAATTCAAAGTATGAACATAGTACACAGTAATGAAAAGTATCAAAATTAGTTTACCTCAAAAAAGATAAATAAAACAGGTATATTCCACCAATACATAAACAGATGTTTGTGCTACAGTTAAAATTTGCTGTATACAAAAGATCATAGTCCCCATAATCAGCTTATGATAGAAGCAAGAATACATGAGCCATTTAAATTGTCAGACATTATGCTTTATAAGGTATGCACAGAAGTTCAAGCAATAAATACATACATTAGTTCAAAGCCTTACAATAGCTACGCAAAGCAGATGCAGAAAAGCAGATTTGCTATTACTAGCAAGCAATGATATAACAGTAAAAATTCATGAAATGCATTAAAGCAACATTTTTCTTAGAAAAAGTCTGGTCATTTATGGGTCCACCAACATTTTTACATAATATGCACAATTATCAAAATACAGACCAAGCATTTCAGAAAACTCCAAAAAACCTAAAATCTATTTTCAAAGCAATTGCAGTTTTGGAGGTTTTTCTGGTATAATGTGCAAGCAGCTATTTTTTAAAATTGTATTCATATAAAACCCATGCAAAACTCTACAGGTATATGCATTCTGTGGCTGAGACTTCCTTTCAAAAG